ATGGCTCGAACACTACTGAATCTGTCTCTCAGAGCCAGAAGTCTTAACCGGCGGTCGTGTTGCTCTGAGGTCCCTCTGGGACGTCCAGAACCCCTCGCTTGCTGTCCTCGGCCTTCCGAAGTCCACGCTCGTTCACACTCCAGCATACAGCGTAAGGATCTATTGGTTATCCTTGGAACTTGTCTTATCGATTCACCGACATTTCGACCCCCTAAAAGTCACTTAGCTGGGCAATCACAAAAATTCTTCTCAATAAGCTACACGAAATTTAACATTTACCTGACACCGTAAGGGCCAATTTCACCAACAACAGTCCGTTATTCTCCACCTATAGGGTAACAGTCCGTCAAATACAGCGAATGAGCTTCAAGTTCCAATCAACAAATTTTAGCAACCAATAGCTATGAAATGTTGAAAACAAAATATTGTCAAAGTATGAGATGACATCTTGTCATTGAAACATCACCAGCTTGTTGAATATTAAGAAATTACATATAATTCGGTCAAAATTTAAACAAATGTTTGATTTTTGAATAAAATTCATGTTTTAATTACCATTGTTGATTTTTTATTTTATTCTTTTTTCCAATAAACCTGTTGCAGATAGCCATTAAGCACCTACTTGATTGGCTCTGCCAAAAAGTTCATAGATATTGCTCGTTTCCAAACATTCATTCATCTACTTGCCGTTCATCAGAACCATTATGGCACCTTAGATTGATATTCCCACATAACTATTCTGGTTTTTTAATATCCATACATCCATAAAGTTGAATATTTTTCGTTGTTCAGGAACTTAACAAACATCCACACTATATTAGCGATTAAGAAATACCCGAATATATGTCGTAGAGCTACCAGCAAACCTAAAACCTGCAGAAAAATTAGAAATTTGCAATATTTTTCTTTTTTCACTGAGTAGATATTCTGGGTTATATTTATATCAGACGTTATTTGAATACAGCTGATTATTGCATTTCAAGGAGTGACACATGTGTGGGCTCTGTCAACTCTTGGTACCAGTCACAAAACATACTCTGAAGGTTTAATTCCATGCTATTGAATCACAACACGGTGACTTGTGTGGTTGTCAGCGGCCATTTTGTGAGGGTGCGATAGGGTTGCCACATTGTGCATTAATATCCCGTTTCACCCTACTGGTCCCAGTGGAGTAAGTTCAGCCAACTGTTGAAATATGCTCTACTATGCTTTATAAGACTATTCGTGACATTTTTCCCAAAATAATTGCACAACACTCGAAAAAATGCAAATGAAAATTTAAAATTATTTCCTTGACGCCGCAAAATAGCTCCGTCGGTACCTTGGGTTATACATCTTGACAGTAGGGATGTTCGATAGGATCCTATATTTAGAAGTATCAATACATTTCACGAGTATCGTCATATTTCGATCCGGACTGTGTCAGAAAGAGTGACTGCCATTTGGCTGCGACATTACCCTCCCAAATCAGACATATCTTTCATCATTTTCAAAGATATTGTACAAAATCTTCAAATTTGTGAAGTTAGCGAGTTTCACTTCATACGTTCTTACCAGATATGCTCAAATCATCAGTTGCTGCCGTGATATTCATCCCGACCACTGCATCCCCACGGCTAGGCGACCTGTATGTTAAATTTGTATTGATAGGCCAGCGGGTTATGCTATAAATCATATGTCACAGTGTTTGTGCACTGATTGCAACAGTTAGATGATACCAAAAATATTTTGATAAATAGGAGATCTTTCCCATTCCGGATCGAACAATCCACCAAAGATGCTTATAATCATGATACCTAGTAAATTTTCACGAAAAAATTCAATACCAGCAAATGTAAAAGATTCATTTCGCACCCTCCACCACGGAACATGATCGTCGTTAGACTTAGCAACCCTGCGAGTGTCAGGTAGATATCCTGGCCAGTCAAAAAAAATAGACAAACACTAAACATTACTAGTTTTTTTGATTTTTGAACTTAACAGCCATTATCTGTGAAACATTTTTCATAATTTTTTGACTATGTCCATAGTAATTGCATCATGCATCAGGGAGATGTAGGGATTGACCCGTCTTACACATGTTATCTGTGTTTTAGGATGGAGAGGACATAATGTTTTTATTGCTTTAAAGAAATTCATTATCCCATAAATTAATAAAATTACTATTATGACATAAAGGAAGATGAGGAATTGGATGGAATCTATTTTATATTCTATTTTCTTGCAAAATACAGACAAATCCACACTATTCAACAGGTATGTAATGATAACTTTCAGTATATTGAAGTTGGTAAATTCAAGAGTGTCATGCATTAATAAACCTCCAAATCTGCAGCCAAATTTAACAGCTAGAAAATCGTTCTATTATTTGCCGCATTCCCATTCGCTGAGGAGGATAACGGATTGTTAAATGTAAACCTATAACATATATCAAAATACATAAAAGTTGTCCTGTTTTTTCTGTACAAAACATCATGTTGGAATCAAAAAGTTGTATTGTTTATAATACAGTCGAATTTTCACGATTTTATTCAATATTTCAATAGAAATCACTAATATTCAGAGACCTTTGACAGCGTCTGTCAAATTGCATTTCGATAAGGTATTTTCCCATTGGTCCATAATATTAATGTTGGTGAAATTTTTCCCTAAGTGTACTAACTGAATGCTTCCTTGTCACCAAACAATACACGCAGCCACCACAAAAACTTAACAGAAAAACCTGACCATTTTATCATTTGTTGTTCATTGCAAGATAAATCGATATGTACAAAATTCTTGAATTCTAATAAGCATACGTAGGTGTTTACCTTTTTTTTTACTCAGTATATTATTATGAGTAGGCGCATGCTTTTGGCCCGCAGGCGCTGAAAACAGTGATCGCCAAGATAAGCATCAGAACATTATTTTGCAATGTCGCTCACTTTTCTGTTGTTTTGGTATTCATGTTCCCATTAAAAATAATAAACGCAATGGAAATATGTGCACGGGTCCGGATATTAATTGCGCGTTCAACTAGTAAACAAGTAAGTTGTATCATTCACAAAAATTGTTTTGTGTATATGGCTTTCAATGTATTTTACGAAAATGCTGCTTCTCTATATCTTATTTCATTTATTTTCTCTAAGCGATAACACATGGTTTGTAAGTCTTTGCAGTTTCTGAAAGCGGATGAAATACCTGCGAGATTTTTTCATATTTGACATTTTGCTTTTTCGCAGAGCTCATCAAAATTTAGGCAAGCACGATCAAATAGAACTGCTTTTACAGATATGCAAACCAATATACCTACACAACCATACAGATGATATCTTAAAGCTCGACCATACTTTCTTGTATTAATTCCGTGAAAATCGAAACGCATAAATAAATATACAGATAAGAAAAATTCACACTATAGCAATTTAGTTGAAATCCTTCAAACGATTTTTATTATCCTTCAAGCTGGAGACTATTTCTACATGATATTTACTGTCATATGGTTCTAATGAACTTTGAGGTACCTTTTCTGAAAGAACAGGAAAATACCTCGTATGGTCATGGATTAAGTTTTGTTCCCAAATCTCAAGCTTTTTGAAAAATGCTTTCATATCAGAATTCATTTCTGCTAGTTCTTTGTCTCTCCCCTGAAGCTGCAAATTAAGTTCATTTAATTTTTCTGTAATATCCACAAGAAAACCAAAATCTCTAAGCCAGATTGAATTTTCCAGTTCTGGAATCGGTTCATCACGTTGTTTGAAAAATTTAACTATGGCAGATATGATATCATTAAAACGTTTCAACATTCCTCCCTACTTAACTATCGGACTTCAGCGTGAAGAAGTATGGACAGACAATTTTATCAGCGAAGGCTTTGAATAATCTTCTTTGTAACGCTTGAGCTCTAATCTTGTTGACAATTTTTACTATCAATTTCACAACGTTGTTTAGTTTTAGAAAATGTCCACATAATGCTTCCTGATGGATAATGCAGTGGTAACATACAAATTGCGGAAAACTTTCATCTTTCATAGCTGGAGCGCCATCGGTTGTCAAGCCTACCATTTTCGATACTGGAATTTTCTCAGAAGAAATAATATTTTTAACCCCTTCACATCCAGGTGCAATTTAAAAAGGCACTTTCACATACCAGACGAAAAAAAAATCGAAAATGAAATATTAAGATTACATAATGACATACATCTTTAACCACAGTTAAAATATTTCATGAAAGTCAAAAACAACATGGCGACAGTGATTCATATTTTATGACTATACCAGTATATCCACCATTTGGATAATAGTGGCATACCATAATATCCATATTTGGATATCCATGTAAAAATAAATCAAAGTCACATTTTTTGAACATAAGTGCTTTATTCATATTTTTTACATAAAATAAACTAGTAGAACGTAACATTGGTAAACCGCTTAAAATATAAAGTTCATTTGTGGTATTCTTAAAAATGTTCCGGACAACAACGCCCTGGCTTATTTGGACACTCAATGCAAATATTTCGTGTTAGTTTCCTTTGGTTGTGTTTTCGGCAAATAACGCAGATCTTTCGCAATGCCCGTTTTTTCCATCTTCCTTTGGTAAATTAACCATAACGTGTTCTTTTTGTGTTTTTTTTTTGAAGTTGAAGGTTGATTATAACATGAAGAAGCATCCGTCATGCAGCGATATCCTTCACTGTATTTGTGCAAAATACCATTACAGCACAGTTTTATATAGTCATACATCGAAATGTTGAAATCATCTTTAGCGTTACAGAATAAAACCTTAGAATTTAGAAGCATCTGAAGCATTAATTGAAAGCCCACTTTGGTAAACCAAGTATAGCTTTTTCGTAAAGAATTGTAAGGTTCCAGATCTTGATCGACAGCGTCAACAGAGCCCATATTTTGATGATAAAATTCAATGTGGGCAGGTTTTTTAAAATGCACTTGTTTACCGCCTACCATATAGCGAGATTTTTCAAAAAACCCTGCACTATGCTTACTTGTCAACAAGTAAACATCCTTCTTGTCCTTATATCGTACAAGCAGTTGCATGTCTTTCCGTACGAAGCAGGATTGGTACCTTTCTAGTGGAATTCTAGTTAACTGAGCGGGAACTCCACGATTGCTTCTTATAGTTCCAGTCAAATACATAGGTTCCTTGGGTAAGTAAAAATTGCGAAAGCCGCACGGATGTATACCAATTGTCTAGAATAACTTCTCGGTCACTGTTCAGTATATTTTGAGCTAAATGCACGACAATTCTTTCAGAAACAGTGAGGTTTCCGGTGCCTGGAATATGGGATACATCGAAATTGTCTTTCCCTACGTACAAACAAAAGTTCCAAGTATATCCGCGCAAATGTGGAGCGCTTGGGCACATTGCAAAAAGTTTTATGCCAAATCGATTTCTTTTTGTTTTAATATATTGACGAAAGTGCAATCTGCCTTTATAAAGCATCAAATGTTCATCTATTGCAAACACTGGTCCAGGGTCAACCAACGTCTTGCAGTTGTCTTTGAGCATGGACATATAAATTTCAAGTCGGCTTAGAGGGGCATTGTTTCTTGCTGCTTCGGGTGGCGAAAACCGAATAAACTTGAGTATAGAAAGATACCTGTTTCGACTCATAATAGATTTATTGAAAACTTTTGGACCAGCGCACAAAATGTTATTACTCCAGTAATCTGTTATGCGAGAGCACTTTACTAATCCAGTAAGAATATGAAGCGCGATGAAAACGTACATCTCTTCTTTTTCTAGTTTCTTCCACTGAACGCCATAAACTGTCCTTGTATTTGTATTTTGTTCAAAGTACATTTCAGCTCTTCTGTTCGTCCACTCACTTAATTTCGCTACGATATTTGGGCTTAAAAACATTCGAAACAATTGACTGGATCTCTGCACTCTTCCATATCAATGGTGGGGTGAAAAGTATATTCAGAAGAAAAATTTTGCGTAGCTCTAGGAACCTGATCGGAAAAAGGATCACTTAAAACTTGCCATTCGTCCATGGTCACGTTTTCGACAAGTTCACCGTCATCGGTCTCCGAATATGTTTCGTCAGAGTCACTCATATCCGAATTATCACTTAACTCATACTCCGAATCGTCATCACTATCTGTATAATAGCCCTGGACATTCATTTTTGATAAATAAAACTTTTACATCCAAACAACACTGAGAAACACGATAAAACAGACTTTCCCAAAACGTAATTTAGAGGCATACACGACCGCGTACCAGCGTGACTACTTATGTACTAACAGTAAAAATATTTCTGTGGAAATATTTTGGATATTGAAGAAATTTGGGTGGGGATGGCTTGTATGCCATACCAGTCGGTCTAATTGATAGCAGCTCGCCATACCAGTTCCCTGCTCCATAACATAAGCCATTAACAATGATATCCATATGTGCATATGATGGTATCCAGAGAGCATATTCAAAATATCCATATGTGGAGTACTGGATGTGAAGGGGTTAAAAGAAGAAAGCAAGTGCTGCACAATAGTCTGCCCTTTTAGTGGAATAAACTTCAAAAGATCTTCTTTAATCCTAAAATCAATAAAAACCATCCTGATGATCACGGCCATCTGAGAGGCATCTACGACATCTGTGGATTCATCCAGCTGCAGTGAAAAATAAGCACAGTTATAGAAGTTATGTCTTAACTGTAAAACTATATCATTGCTCATTACTTCTATTCGTCTCATCGGTGTATTAGTAGAAAACTGCATAGATTGACACTATCTAGTCTTTATTTCTAATAATACATCTGCAGCTTCTAAAAACGCCTGTTTTATCATTTCCCCATCTTCATAAGGTTTCTCCTTTTGTGAAATTATCTGGGACACCCGGTATGATGCTTGAGTTGCAGCCTTACTTTTGTCGATTGTTTTTAAAAACATTGTTGTCCGACTGACTGATTTTTTAATTGTTTCTGTTTTTTCGTTCTGGTTGCAGAACGTAATAGGAATGATTTTTCAAAATTCGAATGTACAGTTTTATAGTGCCTCTCAATATTCCCTTTTTTAACAACGGAAACAGATGTATTATATAACAAACATACATTTTTACCGTTAACTTCTGTAAGTAAATATTGTTCTTCCAGTTCCGAATGGAAATGGTATATCTTCATCTTCTTACTACTGCTCATAATGTCTTTAATTGCAGGCCAACTCTAACCCAACCGCTGGACTTTGTGCCGTTCAATTTTAAACTGAACGCCGTATTTATTCCATTCAAAGTAATCGAGATCGTTCTCGAACAGATCGCTCACCGCAGTTGCTGTTGCTTGTGCTTATTATGAGAATTTACAAAATTGCGAAAGCTTCTATGATTTTAACACCTTTTTAAATATGTTGTGAGCCACCAGAATTGCCTTTGCGAACTACTGGTAGCTCGCGATCAACAGGTTGGCGACCACTGATTTGTTATTAGTGTTGAAAGCGCAATAAATGTGTAGATTATTTTTAATAGAAAGGTGTCTCCCAAAATGGCACAAAATAATTGGCTGACAACTTTCTGCCAATCCAGCGCAGTATGCAAGATAAATTGATTATCCTTTATTCTTGCTTGTTTTCTCCGTTCTAAGATGTGGGTACCATTCCATTTCTGCTTACAATGTGTCTAACGGTTAGGGGACCGGATCTCTCCGGGGGTCCAAATTGACCCACCCATCGCCCCTGGTAATCGCAACCAGCTGTCATAATTTATTAATGCTCGAGTACTCAGTATACTTTTTTAACAGCTGTTACAGGGTTTTGTGTTCGCTGGCTCTAGTCCATAATGCTTGCCGTCCTATACAGGGTGTCTCAAAATTTATGCATCAAATGAAAGTGGGTAGTAGAGGAAGTAATTTTCAATCAGAAAATCATACATGCCTTGCCCGCTTTCTGGATTAGCGCCATTATTAAGATCTCTACTTTTGAGATTGTTGTGTTGTTGTTTTTATGAAGTTGTATTTTGCTATTTCTCAATTAGGTTTACAAGATATCTTTGGAAAGATATGTCACTATAATTTCAAACTGGCTATACGCTGTGAATGACTAATAATGGCTTCCATCTTTTTCAGTGTCCTCGTATCAGGGCGAGGTGTTGACATTGTGGAAGATATCCCGTACGGAGATGGGTGCCTACATGTGTATAGCTTCCAATGGCATCCCACCAACCGTCAGCAAGAGGATTATGGTCAACGTACATTGTAAGCAAACCCAAATCGATTTACAAGTTTAAGCTATTTCATTCAACTAGGATGACCTCAGATTATAAGGGACAGGGTTTTCCGTTTAGGATCATACTGGCGTGCGATACCGATGAATATCTTGAATGTGGCGTGGAGAACCGCCATATAATTTAACATATTCGACGAAGCCGATATTTTGTTAAAAAGTGAAAATCTTCAAACTCTATACTACTAAGTAGAGTTAGTAGTTGAGAATTATCGTACGAGGGTATTTCCGGAGAAATCTGGAGCTCCTCACGAGAAAAAAGTGCCTAAAACTGCAAGAAAGTCTGTAAAATATATCATTTCTTGTAACACTTCAATCAAACACCATAACACTATGGACAACGATAAAGGTTCCATACGGAAGAGCGCTTCATCTGTGGGCCAGCAGTACTCAGCAGCTCGTCCCAGTAAATGTAGTTTTCGTGAAACCTTTTCGATTGCATCGTTAAAACCTCGAATAAAAATTATACACTCTTCATTATAACAGTTTCTAACATCAATTGATCAAAAATTGAAATACAATATGAATAAAAACAGGATGATTCATAAAACGGTGGTAATATTTTTCAAGCATAAATGCAGATCAGTAAATAAAACGAAAAGTTCGTATAAAAATGGGTCTCAAAGTGCTTCCTCACGAACACACAGGGCGTAATTTCGAAATTGAAAAAACTATCCTCAGGTTATGTCAAGATATTGAATTGAGATTTTATACGTGTAGTCATAACATTGTAGCCAATAAATAAAAGAAAATCGTTGAACAGTCTACAAAAAAAAAAATTGAAAAATAGTTTCTACGCCACTGTTTTTTTAACACATATATCGAATTTTTGAATAATGTATTCAATTTTACATGAGTCACCTCTCCTATTACTCTTGGTGAAATAGTGTTTGGATACTTGAGATAAACTGCGTATTAAAAACTCGAAGCCGCTCTACTTCTGAAATACGCTGAAATTAGAGAGGTTAGACATTGAAAAATGTTTGTAGTATAATAGTTGCGTAATCCCATTGCACCATAGCATGGTTTGTCCTCATTCAGTCTCATCAGTGCAGTAGAAATTACAATCTTGGTAATAGAGCATTTTAGGATTCTTCATAGGAACTTTTTTGTCATTTTTGAAGTTCAAGAAATGTTCGTCGGATTAATTGAGCTGAAAAATGTGGATGCGAAATATGTTGCATCTAGCATCGATCAATCGATGAGTTTCTAAAAAAGAAAACCTCGATCCAGATAAATGCGTAGGTTTAGGATTTGACGGTTGTTCGACGATGTCTGGAAAATACGGTGGAGTACAAGCAATCCTGTGCAAAGAATATACCACAGCTTTGTTCTTTCATTGCCCGTCCCACAAATTAAATTTGGTAGGTAATTAATGATCGCAACATCCCAAAATTCGAAATGTCATGGGAACCACCAGAGCTCACAGCGGAAGCTTAACATAATATATCTGTCAATATGTTGAGCATGGAAGTGTTACCAACTGTCAAAATAATACCAACTTAAAAAAACAACTGATGTCCCACCCTTTAGTTTCAATGTACCAATCAATCTTCTAGTTTTAGTACAAGTTATAATGCTTAAAGATTTCATAGCTAATCACATAGTTGAGAAGATACTGCTACATGAAGTACTTTTTCATTGTTCGTTTGACAAAATAAAATTGATTTTGATTCAGGAGGACTCACAGTTATTACTTTAGATTAGACACGTATCAAGGTGAAACAAATTTCTCAAGACTAAATCAAGATTGTTTCGATCGACCAATGTACTCATTTTTCCATGTAGTTCGCAGTAAGCATCAATCCCAATTGATGAATCACATCGATTATCTCTGTCAGAGTGGTATGGACCGGCGACCGGCCACAAGGAGGATAACGATCTTCATATTGTGGAGCCGTTATATTCTAAACCACCGACTTGTCGCTAAAGATTATTGTACAAACATTTGCATATAATTTCTTTGAGATTATTTTTTATCGTGTAGAGGGTGGCCAACCTAGAATGCGAGGTACTGCATCTGAGAACCTGTCCATTGTAGGGGCCTGGAAAATATTTTCAAGTTTCTGAAATGACCGCTGGGGGGCGTCACTGCAATCTTGAATCTGAAAAAGTGATGTTTCTGTAAATTCCGCTAAGTTAACCCTACAAAAAATAGCTGATCTTCAAAGTCGAGGATAATGTAAAACATTATTTGTTTGACAATTTTTGTTGTATCTCCAAAAATAAAAAGGTATCCGTAAAAAACATTCTGTATCTTCGCAACGGGTGAGCCGATTTTAACAAACTTGGGCTAAGGTATCTGTTCCAAACAAGGCCAAGCACCTGATAAGGCCATGCGTCGATTTTACAGAAACTACTTACATTTAAAATTGAAGCTTTCTACTGTTCTACAAATTTATTGAAATCAGTTAGCAGCTATAAATTCAGCAGCTGCGGAGCGGCACTAGATGGCGCAGTAGGACAGCGTCGGTTTTCAACATGTGCCTTATAAAATTTCTGCTTTAAATTTGTCTCAGTTTTTGCATGTTGTCGGCTTCTTCTTGCGGAATCTCTTGTTAATTCATACAGGTAAGTTTATAAGGCATATGCAGGTAGTTATTTGCTGTTGCCAGATTCTGAATGTTTTCAATTTTGTAAATTGTATATTTGAGGTTAGATGTGCGTAATAAGGCCATGTTGAATGGTTCCCAGAAGAATAGAGACGAAAACTGAGACTGCTTCATATGCGATAAGGATGAAATACGTAATATGCGTCTGTGTGTAATATGCTTAAGATATGCCCATGAGGAATGTGTAGGCTTGTGTAGAGGCGATAAGGTATCATTTGTTTCAATGCGAAGGCAGAAACAAGTTGATTTTTTCACTTGAAATCTATCTGGACTTAAGAATTATTTATTGTTTTAAATTAGAAATATAACTTCGGTTATACAACAGCCTTGTTTTATATTTTGAGCGTGGCTTTATTAAAAACCAGATCATGGACTTTTTATATGGAAGGAAAAGTTCTCGGAGCTCTCCGATACAGCTTATTCATTGAATATACCTAGAATAATACCTTTAAAATTTCATAATCGTATCGCAAATATTTATACGTATATACGTATATATATATATATAAGTTACAGCTATCCAAACGTTAACGTGGCCTGATTTGGTACAGGTACCTTAGTAGAAAAGAGCTATTCTTGGGCTACAAATATTTGAAGTTTTGTTAGTTTAGCATGTGGCCGCTAAAGGACTTTTTTCGACATTTCGACAGAAATGGATAATTTTCTCAAAAAATTAGGTGCAGCAGTATGATTTTTTTATGAAAAAGAAAATTTTTATTTTTTTAGACAAATTTTTCTGGAGTTCCTTTATATGCTTGAGAATAAAATCAGCCTTTTTGAAATTATTACAAAATATCGCTAAAAGGTAAGTAAGTAATGCTAACACTAAAGGTATATTTTTTGTTTAAATGCTTAGTCACTATGGGTATAAACGAAAAAGACATTTAATAGAAGCAGGCCATGGGATACAACACCACAAAAACATTATCAAAACATAAATAATCATCGAATTGTCAGTAGTTGTCAACAGCCTCGCGTTACTTAGAGCAATTTTTGTGCTTACCAAATGACTTTTAAGAACGATGATGCTGTTGATATGCTTGCAGTTTATTTTGAATATCATCAGAATGCCGCAGTAGCAAAAAGAGCTTACGCGATTCGATATCCAAATCGGTGTCTTTGCAATGTGAGCATTTTTTCCCCTGTTAGTGGTGAGCTTACGAGGCGAAAGTAGTTTTCGGCCTACGTTTCAGCGACAAAGAATTGGAAGAACACAATAAAATATTAACCGCGTATATATTGAAGGAAATCCTCATGTTAGCACAAGGACATTATCCCCTGAGTTGGGCATGCGACGAACACTGGTTCAAAATATTTAGAAGGACCGTGGATAAGTTCTAATGACCATAAAAATATAGGGATTTGTTTGAATTTAACTTTTTTTAATTGCTTCCAGAATGTACCCATATCCTGTCGTTTTGCGTCAGAGAAGAGGAAGACTTTGGTCGGAGGCTGGACTATTGCCATTTGATGTTAGGGATGATACGCAAAGATCGAGAATTTTTATTTCACATTGAAGCCACCTTTAATAGTGTCGGGATCGATCTTTTTTAAGGCTTTGTTGGGTTAACATAGCCGAATTCACAGAAACATCACTTTTTTAGATTCAAGATTGCAGCGACGCTCCCTAGCGGCCATTTCAGGAAGTTGAAAATATTTTCCAGGCCTCTACGATTGCTAGCTTCCCAGATACAGTACTTGGCTTTCTGAGTAGGCCACTCTGTACATAATTAACAATATTTTCTATAAAGCGCTCCGTTATTTCGTTTTTCCGTGGACCCACGTTGTCCACTCTCAAAATCACTTAATTTATGCTACCTGTAGATTTTTCACAGTATTGGAAAACCTCTGATGAACCAAAAAGTCCCAGGAAAATGGAAACGGGAATTCTTGCTTCCCGACAAAAATAAACGAGATACGATAAAGCCTAGTACTATCAACATATTAACAAGTAAATTATGCAAATGTATTCACACGATCAGTATGAAAGTTTGTACAGACAATAGTCGCTTAATTTAGTTTCCTAAGAACTAGCATTGATCGAGTTGAATTATAAGCCTTAATAATTATCTTGTATATGCTTTTTTATCGTACGTCTCACAGCGGTCTATTTATTCGAGAATCTGGCAAAACTTGTAAAAAGCAACGTATGTGAAATGAATGAAAATGTTTCATGATTTAAATTTAACTCTTTAAATAATAAGTTGGGCATGGGATCAGAATTTTGATTACACTACCGGTACCACGGCATTAAACTTTGAAGTTCAGAACTTTTTTAGGGCGAGATTAGACAGTTCCTGTATCATCTGTTGTGTTGCGTCTGGACATGGATGATAATAAAGGGTTTACGAACTTTCATATGATGTAACAGAAATATGCCATTGTTGTTTTCTTAAACACCGTTAGTTGAATTGACTACTATTTTTAATAAGGTTCCGCCCTTTGCCCTAACAGGAATAAACTATGTTTGTGAACCTAGAAGTACTGCCAAATAGAATCTCAGCTACTTTAAAGTGGTTTTTGATTTGAGAGTGATACGCTACCGAACTGGTCCAGAAATAAAGCATGAGAATACAATGTGCAGTTAAACGGTGTTGATGCTGAACACTGCTTAGTTACACCGAGTTACTCAGAGTAACCCAACAACGTCACTGGAAAGCAGCTTTAGTGTCAGTTTTTGCTGAATTTTACAAACTATTGAGAAATATCACCTAATGTACTATCATACAGGGTGTAAACGTTATGATAGTCATTATTTAAATGGGTGATAGAGAGGGTTAAAAGAAGCAAAAAGTTTCATATAACATACAGGTCAAAACGGCATATTTTTAGAGAAAAGCGACTTTAAAGTAAAATAAAATCTGATTACGACGGAACGCAGTGTACATAAAGATGGAGTTTGTTATTTTTGGCTCTTAGGTATTATTTCATTATTTGATAATGTACTCGAAAATTGCAAACAATTAAAAAAAAACGGACTTACCACTAACTATCTCAGCGCATCACCTTGTGTGTGAAAGTTTATTGAACGTATTAAAAATCCATTTATAAATAGGGAACACAATTTTGATACGTACATTGTTTTTCTTTTTAAAACCCACACTGCACTTTTTTGTATTTAAAGAAGGTGTTCAAAATGTCGTCCTCCACTTTCCACACAAGCTTCATTAAGACCTTCACGCATGGTATGCGGATTTTCAATGTTTTTGTGCATAAACCACTGACAGAATGTTAGTCTGCGAGGATAGTCTTCTAGTAACAAGGCCTGCACTCGTTGTACATGGTAGGGATAAAGCAAATTTTCCCGTAGGATTCTATGGACTATGGTTTGCGATAGTCCTACGCGGCGGCCTAATTCCCCAGTGCTGATATCTGCATTGATTCACACGATATTTAAAATTTGTTCCTTCTGCTCTACAGTAACCTGTCTTTCACGAGTGCGAATATTAGTGGGCTGAACACTTCCTGTATCTCGAAATCTTTGGTACACTTGCACAAATGTCCTTCTGTCTGGGTGTACCCGTTGGCGAAATCTGTCGCGATAAATTAGAGTTGCAAGATTTGAGTTCTGACGAACTTCACCGTGAACTAACAACATGTCGGCGAACTCTTGATTCGAGACCATTGTAAATAAAGACGACGACGTACGCGAACAAAAAGAAAACAACAGGCCCGATGCCCGATAACTAACTACTGTTACCGATTGCGATCGATTGCCGGTTCGATAAGAGTGATGAAAAGCCGAAACGGTTTAGATTAGATTATAAAAATTAGTAAGATTGTGATGATTGTGGTCGATATAAAGCACTTAAAGTTGTAAGCCATTTAGACAAAAATCTATTGACTTTTGGACCATGGGTCATATGAACTTTTTTGACTTGTTTTTACCCCCCCCTATTACCTATTTCAATAATGACTACCATAACGTCTACACCCTGTATTATTGCAGGTGGTCGGATACGGTTATTTAACTTTTTTGAATTTATCCTTTGAAAAATCTCCAAATGCCCATCACATTCATCCTTTAGACAAAATGATCTTTGATTTTGACTCAAAAACCTATGTAACACGGACTCAAATGCTAGACTTATTTTGAACTAGTCATAGTGACTAATTTACCTCTGAAACGGAAATTTCAGCCAGAAAAACCTAAATGACATGCGGTTGGGCTAAACTAATCCCAGATTTAAAAAATACTTTTGCACTGAAAATCGTATAAATGCCTTAGTCATTTTTTGGCCACCCCTTCGATGTTCTAGCCCACTATGTATCTGACCAAAAATGACAAATGTAATAAATTTTCCACCAATATGAAACCTACTTCATAACATTAAATTTCATTATGGATCTTTCTATTTTCAGTTCATCCAGTGATCCACGTTCCCAATCAACTAGTGGGTGCTCCTTTGGGAACAGACGTGACGTTGGAATGCAACGTGGAAGCGTATCCCAAATCTATCAACTACTGGGTTAGAGATAATGGTAAGTATCTGAGTTGATATGACACTGACAGACCAGAGGCGGTTCGTTGAGGAATATACGTAGAGGGATGTCCCGTAACGCCGGACGGCGCCTAGCATCGGACATTCGTACTATCCCGGCAACTCACAATGCTTTTAATTCAAAAACCGTGAATGGAGCGCGGAGGGACCTAGTGATACAGTCACGGAACGCGGTTTGCATGTGATGCGAAATTCCACGGTGCCGTTTTTGACGTGGAATCAGTGCGTCACATAAATTCCAAGTAACTATTATTGCTATAGTTCGTGTTTAAGAGTTTATGTTGATTGCCAATAAAGTTTTTTTAATTCCTTAAGCAATTTTAGTATGCAACACGTAATTTTGGGGATTCCCTGTCCCCTAGCACCGGACACAAAGATGTCCCTTAGCTTCGGACACTTCACAAATAGTTCTTTGTACTAATCGTCTATACACTCATAATAATTGTTGTATGTTGTTTTAGAGTTAGAGGATAGACGTTCAGTGATACAGAGAAATGGAAGCGACCAAAAAGATAGGAAATTGTGACCAACAAAGTTTAAAAGCTACGATAGATAAGGTTTTGTCCAAAAAAATTAGTTTGACGGAAGCTTAGATGCATTGTAATATCCCAAAGAGCAATTTACATGATAAAACATCGGCATTGAGTCGTGGAGTAGAAGTGACGTTGCAACCAAAGATGGGTAGATTCACTAATACCTTTTCGCCAGAGTACGAACAAGTTTTAGTGGACCACGTAAAGGACTTGTCCAATAGATGCCTGCCGCTTTTTGAAGCTAGATTTCGAGTTGGCTGAAGCTATGAAGATCCCCCATCGTTTCAATCAAATCAAGCTGCTGGGAAGCATTTCTATTATGATTTCATGCAGCCACTTCATAGCTCCATTCTTTGTCTTTCCTAGGCTAAGGATGAATGATCGACTCATGATCAGTCATCCAGCCGAAAGCGTTGGTGTGGCGCAGCCAAAAGGTTGGATGATTAGTGATTTTTTCATACAATGGTTGCAGCTATTCGAGAAACACTCCCACCCGACAAAAGATAGCCCAGTGCTACTTCTATTGGATGGCCATTGTAGTAATAAGAAAATGGCGGTTATACATTTTTTCCAAGACAACAACATTCACTTAGTAAGCTAACCACCATACACCACCCACAAGCTCCAACCACTGGACAGAACATTCAAAGATGCCTATAACCAACGATGCGATATGTGGATGAGAACAAACGCTGGATCTCAGATAACCGGTTACGATATTGCTGGTCTGATCAATGAAACGTTTACCAAAGTAGCTTGGCTCGGTATTTCGGTGTCTGGGCTTGAAAGCACAGGAATTTACCCGTCTGATAGATATATATTCTTTGACCCGGATTATTTGGCTACAAACATGACCAATATTACGCTAGAAAATCCAGGAACTTGCTTAAACGTACCCAGTTGGAACCGAGAAGCTTCTGTGACTGCCACAGATTTAGCCCTAGCTGGTAGCTCATCTGTGCTCTCGGATGCAGAACTCTCAAAAAATTTAGTCTTAAAAGAATCGACAGACCCTCCTAGAAAATCTAGCAATGAACGAATAACTAGTAGTCCTAAGCCTTCCACAAGCTTTGATCCAAATGTTCTCCAGATAGTCCATAAATTATCGCCATTGCCAGATGCTGCCATCAAAATGTCAGTCGCTCGGAAGAAAAAATGTGAAAAAAGTTAAATTCTAACATCGTCTCTCTGCAAAATTGCTGTTGAAGAAAGAGAGAATGAAAAAACCTTGAAGAAAAAATAAAGAAATGATAAATAAAGTCAAAAGAGCTAGAGAAGAGAAGGGAAAACAAACCAAAGGTGTGAAAGCTAAAGAAAAAAGTGGAGATAAAACTAAGAAAATGGAACCATTACCTGAAAGATATACTTGGGTAGTGTGCTTAGAGGATCACGACGAAGACTGGATACAATGCTCCAGCTGCCAAGGGTGGGCTCACGAAGCATGTGCAGAAATTCCTGAATGTGGAGATGTCTATATTTGCGATCGATGCACGATGATATAATGATCTCGGGTGCTTAGAGCTAGAAGTTAAATCCGTCCGGTACTAGGAGTCAATGGCAAATATTATTTCTTTCTTTACCATAACTTAAATGAGGTTCCTAATTACGTTTATACAAAAGTTGTATTTTTGTTGATTTATTTTGGTTTTAGAATGTGTTGTCTTCAATGATTCATAAATAAAGTTACATTTCTCGAAGTAGTTTTTGTTGTATTTTCTGAAAACCTTAGGTGTCCGCCACTAGGGGACTTCCTTTCTTTCTCCAATTTCAAAGTTTTGCTGCGCTGCTATACAGATTCTAAAAGGGCATGGGCAAACGAGGGATCTTATTTTCGTTCGACAATCCAAGCCCGTTACACACGTAACTTTAATAGATCACCAAGAACAATCCAAATTCTAGCTACCAGGAGGTGGTTACCACCGAGCTAGAGCTGAGGATTACCAATTGCAGTGGTTGTTTCCCTCAGGAGTAAGTAAGTGCCTCACTCGATCTGTTTCGGCATGGCCGCACATTCCCTACTTCTCTACGTAATAACACCAGAACACCCCAGAAATTTGACACACCTTTTTTGGAAAAGAGTTCCTAAGGAAGGTTTTAGGGTTTCAAACAAGCAAATTGTCCATGACATCAGATATGACTTAGACAATGATGTTTCTTAGACGTCATTTGGAGGTCAACTCTGTAAACTCAAAAAGCAATCACTATTTTTTAAACAGATCCGTGTCAAGCTCGAGATTCTGCAACAGATTTCATTTTCATAAAGGGATTGTCCGGAAAGTAATAGGACTGAGTCGATTTAAAAAAAATTATTGATCCAATCGTTACAATTCTTTAAAAACTTTCAAAATAGGCTCCTTCTGCGTCGATGCAGCGCTGCCAGCGCGATTTCCAAGCATTGAAGGCATCACGGAAGGCATTCTCCGGAGTAGCCTTGAGAGCCGCGATGCATGCTGCTTGGATCCTCTCTGTCGTCTCAAAATGCTTGCCTTTCATCGGCCTTTTCAGGCGAGGAAACAAAAAAAAATCCGGGGGGCCACATCTGGGCTGTAGGGCAGCTGCGCAAGCGTTGGGATGCCGGCCTTGGTCAGGTAGCTGTTCACAAGAAAGGCGGGTAAGTCGGGGCGTTGTCCTGGTGCAACTTCCAGTCGGCTGCGATGTCTTGTCGGCCCCGACTGACCCTTCGTTCGAGTCTTCTGAGCACTTCCACGTAAAACTTGGCGTTGACGGTTTGTCCAGGACGAACAAATTCATGGTGAACGATGCCTTTGATGTCAAAAAAGACAATGAACATCGTTTTCACTTTGGATTTGCTCATTCTTCCCTATTTTGGTCGAGGAGACGCCGTCGTGTGCCACTCGAAAGATTGCCTCTTTGTCTCGGGATCATACTCAACGATCCATGACTCGTCACCTGTGATTACGTTATTCAAAAATTGGGGGTCACTTTCACACATGTTCAAATTTTCTTGGCACACTTCCACTCGCCGCAATTTCTGGTCGTCAGTGAGCAGTTTTGGGACCATCTTCGCGCACACCTTGCGCATGTTCAAATGCTGTGTCACAATGTCATGAACAACAGATTTTGGTAAATTTAACATATGGACAATTAAACGAATACTTAGTCGACGGTCTGAGTTCAAAACTTTGCGCACACGAGTCACATTATCGGTGTTTGTCGAAGTCGAAGGTCTTCCAGCACGGTCTTCATCAGCGACCTCTTCCCGGCACTCCAAAAAGGCCTGGTGCCACCGAAACACACCACTTCTTGCTAAAGCAATACCTGGGTAAGCCTGCTTGATCATATCAAACGTCTCTGTCGCAGATTTACCGAGTTTCACACAGAATTTAATCGCGTACCTCTGCTCTAACGAACTCTGCATTTTCGGCTTGTACCAGTCACAGAAACACGTCGCGCGAAAATGCCTGTCCTGACTCTCCAAGTGCTCGGAGACAACTGGTCAGCCGCTCATTCGTTAGCTAGGAACGCCCTCTACCGAATCCAGTCGGTGCGCGCACGCTCCGAAGTACAGTCATGGCGGAAGAAAATGAGTCCTATTACTTTCCGGACAAACCCTGTACATGAGGTCTAGTGGTCATGAGTAGCTCAATCAGCATGACTTACTGCAACCCCTAAAAAATACACGAACACCTCCGAAAGTTGGTAATTCTGCATTTTTTTTAAAAATGATTATGAGAAAAATATTAGGGTGTCGCATAATCAATTTATCGATGACCCCAGATATGGCCTAGATAATTTGTACATTCAAATAGCAGCCATCATTGTTAACAGAAAACTCGATCTTAGATTGGAATCCATTTCGATGCATGAGGTCAGGTGGTCATTAGTCACTACTCTTAAAAGTACATGAACGCCCCGAACACTCGGTAGCTATGCATTTTATAACCGTCGTAATGTGTTGTAAAGTTCAGAGATCAAAAAAGGATGTTGTCATGACATGTACTGCCATACAGGATGGAGAAAAGTGCGCGGTTGCCACATGTTCGGAGTGTTAATGTACTTTTGAGACGTTGCAGTATGTCATGGTGATTACGACCGCTTGACCTCATGTATGAAACAAGATTCTTATGTAAAATTTCGAGATCGACACGAATCGCTGTCAGAACAAGAGATTATCACTTGAATTTTCAATGTTGACTTCCAAATTATCTCTGAGGTCATTGTGTAAGACATATTTGCGCTCATCGACATATTGCAATGTTGGTGCTCTCAACCTTTTCTTATAACGTTTTTTCCGCAGAATGCGTGGTTGATAAGTCTTTGGGGAGTTGGTATACTTAATAGACATTTTGTATAGAACATAATAATAAATTGTTTATTACTCACGCCAAAATGACTATATGGATATGGAAATAGACTATAATCTTTAATAGCACATCAGCTACTTTTTATCCTGGTAAACAACTTTAAAATATCTACTT